CATATTATGCATTATCTTTTTGAAACAGGCTGTAAGAAAGGGAAGCTAAATGAGGACAGGGTAAAGGTAAACATTAGCGACAACCTCGCCCTCATGCGGACTACTATGTTAATTTATGTTGGCGTGTTTATACCTCACAAAATTACTAACCTCTAATTTTGTTACTTGAGTAAAGCTGAGTTTGTCTTTGGTCTGTATATACTTTGCACATATAGAACTGTTGCTATATTTCTTCATGGTGAAGTAAAATACAGTTTAATAAATTCATAGTATTTTTTGCAAGTACATTACGCGATATGATTATCGAGAATTCTGTATTAATTTATATATATGCTTTTGCATCTTTTTGTATAGGACATACTTTCAAGTTATAATCATTTTATTTATAACTAAACACCTAATGAATGTTTGTTTCTTGTATAATAAAATCTGATTATTGCTATTCATTTAGAAGAAAATAGAGAATGATGAGCTGCGTAGATCATGGAGCCGTCCCTTTGCCATTTCTAGCGAATATTACATTATCGAAATAATTTTATGAATATTCAATTCCGGGCTCAGTATCTGCACCCTTTTACATGTTAATTCAGTTGTTGAAGAGTCGGGTCAGGCCAAGTTTGATTTTCGGCGGTACGTGCATATATTAAATTAATTTGTAAATTTACACAGAATATGTATGTGAAAATGGTAGTATGTATCTCAACATAATAGAAAAGTATAATGTAAAAACACCGCCAACAATTATTCCCAACAATTCTTATGGTTGACTGGTAGAAAGTACCTCATAGTGTTAAGTCCGAAAATGTACTATTACTGATTATTATGCGTGATTTAAATATATAAAAATAAGTTATATAAATATTTGTATTTAATAATCAATAATTTACTATATCGGATTGCAAACTTAGAAGTACTTATGGAAATTTATGTACACTTTGATATTTAGTCAATTGCACGTAGATTTATAATAAATAATACAGAAAATAAGTAAGACTTTATAAATCCTTTTTTCATTAAATCAAAGGATTGAGAGGAAACCTGACAGGCTTGTGGGAATTGTTTAGGCGAAGCACTTTAGCGTGGCAGCTGTCATGTCAAATGGTAAAGTATGAGTGGGGAGAATATTTACTCAGCATAATATTATGCGTTTCTTTATATAATCTAAATATATATCGCATACATAAATACATATAAATTACCAGAGGGAGATTTTACACGAAGTCGTCTCAATTCCGATTTAAAATTAGCGAGGGTTGTCTGATTGATCAATCACTGATAAAGTGAATGATCAATCAGACAACTGTAGAAAAATCTTTATAAAAATCTTGGTTCATAAAAATTTTTAAGTGATATAGTGATTTATCAAACAGACAAGTACTTACTGGCAATGCTTGTTTGATTGATAATTCGTTGATGAAAAGGTAAAATAATGTGCTACGTGTATAGGAAAAATATATCGAAAAATACTTGAATGCGTAGTTTATTTCTTTTAACTGCTAAATATCTGTAGAAATTTCTGTAGAGATTTAAACAGACTTTGCATTTAATCCATCCAAATGGCATAAACATTGCTATGAGCGAGACCGGAGATAGAAATGCTGTGTTCGAAACGGAAATAGCAAACGGCGCCCATCCCTGGCTATTCGATTTGCTCGTGTTCCGACCAAACAAATGTTTCTCCTAATTTATAACATTTTTCACTATGTTGTTTTCTCCTCTTGGTATATTTAAACTTGAGTGAATTTTGATGAAATTAGTTGAGTTGTAGTAGGATTAATCGTATTATTTAGTTGTCTATATTCTATTATATATGTAGTTACTTAAGTAACTAGTTTCAATTCACCACAATTACAATTGACACAAGATAATATTGTAATACAGTATAGTTAGAGTAAATTACTGATTTACTAAATATATATACAGTGACCTAGGTGACAAACGTCAAGTTAGTGTAATGAAAGAAAGAAAATAAATAAGCTCTGAAATAAAGAAAATTTCATCATTGCAGTAACAGATATACTGGTTTTTGCTTGAAATATCTTTTGTGATGTTTGTATAAGTCTTTTTTCAAGTAACTTTGTTAGAATCTTTAAGATTAAAAAAGATATGAATTGGTTGAAGTGTTTTAAAATATATTTGTATGTAGGTTTACGGACACGGTACTTATATCAAGAGATTTCATATCTTATTAAAATGTATAGGTTATCTTTTAAAACTAATTTCATACAAAGATATAACAGATCCTGTCTTATATCAGTAGGTATTGTCCGTTTTTCATATAAGTGAAACGATACAAAACAAGGATAACCGTGTATTACAGAACTTACGAAAAGGATTTATTGAATGGGTTAAATAGATAATCCGCAGAGATAATCCAATTAGTCGAAACTCACCACCTGGGGCGACTACTTAAGACGATACAGAATTGACCCTTATGTACATTTAGCTATGTATTTATATTTAAAATAGGAGAAAGTTTTTAAATCTATTGTATATTTTGCAGACATTTTCTGTTAATTTTGTCATAACTGAATTTTTTGTATGCAATTTTTATTATAACAATTTATATGGTAAAAAAATTCAATTAAATTTTCGATCAATGCTATTCATTGTTCCAAAGTTTAATTGAAACTTTTTCATTTACTTATAATACAATAATAATAATAATATACAGAACATTATTTTTAAGATTTGCTGGACTTGGACTCTTGGACTCTTTTAAAGCATACAGATTAAATACATTTTTTTTAGAATGGATAGCTCTGATTTAAGCTCTGATAGCTCTGATAAATGTTAGAATTGTGGTCACGTACAGTGCCACAGAGTGTCACATATGTTGTTTAAAATCGTTCGTTAGATACCAATTGAATAGCATATGAATCGGAAACGATTTACGAGAATTACGGAAATGAAAACATTATCTTGTACCTACTTAGGTACAGAGCGTTCGACTTACCTTAATACACTACTCTTTTTTTTATCAAGATATGACACATTTCTTATATTGTCGGAAATAGATATACCATGCATTTAGATGTTCATTATATCCTAAATAGTGGATTTATTTAATACAATACTACTACTTTTAATTAATTTGTTTTCTAAATTATTATAATTTATGATTAGTTCCGTTCCATGGCTTTGCTATAGAATAATAAATATTACAATTAATTAAAATTATAAATAAATACAACTAAAATTAAGTTACTTATTCGTATAATATTTATTTCTAATGGGTACTTTCCATAACGTCTGTAGTATTGATACATTTTCGGAATATAAGCTTAATAACTCAAGCTAAAACTCTGAAGCCTCTGACAGTCCCCTCTAAAATTATCGTATTCAAATATTGCACGATTCCTTCTAAATTTTGGAGATAGGTGGCTATTAATTTTTGGTAGATTTTCCTTACCCATACCGAAAAATTCTTTCGCCGAAATTCGCCGAAGCGTAGATACAGATACTCGTAATATTGAGCGACATTTTAAGACGTTATAAGTAAGTGGTTTCAGAATTTAAGATGTCGGTTGGATTTTCTTTGATTGAGTGTTATTTACAATTTATTTACGCGTATGGAATACGCTGATATTCGTGTTTGAATGTAATTAGTTGTATTGGAAAAAGTAACATTGTCAGTACCATACCTACAGGATCTACTAAAGTACAATGTCATCTGTAGTAGTAACTAGTTTTACCTAATTCGTAGTGTTCTAAGTACCAAGCAGTTTCCATGAATAACTTATTGTTTTTATACAGATGTATTTGTTTAACATTTACCTAGTACCTATTTTGTTATACTGTATAAATTTTAAAATTCTATCTATCTATTTAATCTTACTTTATTTCTACCATACAGTATCATGAATGCATCGCGGTATTCGATATTATTAATGTTTATATATCTATATCTGTATTAGCAATTTGAATGTACATTCAATAGTATATATTCCACCTTGACAATAGGTAGTAATATCCACATATTTAAATCTAAAATATTTAGTAGAACCCGTATTAATAGATTACGAAAAAGAAAGTTTAATTAAAAGTACGAAAACAACTTTTTAAAATTCTTCTGCTGGTAGTGATTGTGTAATTGCGTTTTTTTGTTAGCGGAGGATATTATCAACCCAGTCTTAAACTTTTGACAGTGATTTTTAATTAATTCTAAATGAATTTTTCGTACCATGTTGCTTATTGTGTGTTTTTTCTGAATCAATAAAGTTAAATTAAATATTGTATGACCCATACATTGTATGATATGAACCTGTCTATAAGATAGGATCTTTGTCAAATAATCATTGTCATACAGCCGAATCTTTCTTGAGTTGTTACTGCATATCTGTAGTTAAATATTTTGTCACAATCTTTTAAACTTAAACTAAGCATTAATAAAATAGCATTGCTGTTGTTCAGGAGAGAAGGAATAAAATAAAAATACTATTCGCTGCAAGGCAAGATGAAGGCGAAAGTGTAATAAGGACGTAATTACTAAATATCTAAAGTCAATATACGATTACACCGTCAAAAACCTAAAAGAAATTATATTCATCTTAGTAACTACATTACAGCGAGAAAGGTCTAAAATTAACGTTATCTGGTTATAACTAAATATAGTACATGTATAATTTTAATATATAAAAGTAGTTTAATAGGTAAAGTTATTAAGAAGGTGGCATTATAAATAAGAGAGGATAATGAGATAAATCAAATCTACAATATTTTTTCAAGATGACTGAATAAATGAAAAGTTTGTTTATACCACTCTATTATACAGCAAAAAGGTAAAAAGTCTTTGAGAAATGATTAAATGAAAGAGTACAATGGCGGACTTATCGCAATACAAGAATTTCTTACATTCTGTCTTTGAATTGAATACTCGAGAGGCAACAATTTACAAGTAATACTTAGTATATTAATGAAAAAAGGTCAAAGGGCACTTTCATTTTGTAAAATAAATAAGTTCAATGGACTTATAATATAATTGTGATTTTTTGTTACAGTTGTTACTCCATTCCGCCCAACAACATGTCTGGTGGGTCACACGTCTCTCGAGCAACATTTGGAGGGGCAGAGTCGGAAATATCAGGCGGCAGTGCCCCTCCGCTGCCCAGTCCTGCTTCGGCGGGGGCTGCGCTGGTGTCTCCAGAGACGTTGAGCCGACACAGCAGCCCCCCGCCGTTGCCTGCCCATCCCTCCCACCAACAACCAGCACCGTCCTGTTCTTCACATAGGGTGCACATGGAGTCTCCGTTGAGGTTAGTTGTTTGTTATTTACAAGCTACATGTATAAGGACGAGATTCTTACTTAGACCGTATTTTTTCTTCACCATACATCTTTGTCTTCTTTTCTTCATTTTGCACAGACTTTAATGTTACGTTTTGCAATAGTTTGCGTTCTTTTCAATTTATTATCAATAATCATTTATTAATTTTTAAATTAATTTTACTATATTGAATTATCTATGCAGGTAGAGAATATTCACTATAGTTTGTATGTTTAACTCTTTATTGTAACTATTATAATTTTTTTAATAATTGTAATATAATTAATAAAGAAGATAGATAAATTTAGATTGAAGATGACAAAAAAAAAAGTAGGCTAAGCTATCCTAAGAAAGAATTTCTTTTTTGGCAGCAAAATGCTATCTCTTAATTATTTTTTATAGAATAGAATAGAAAATCATTTATTCAAATAAACTTAATTTAAGCACTTTTTAGTCATATTTGTTTTTTATCTACCATATGTTTATATTTATTATTATTAGATATTACTTAAATATATGTACAGAAATAAGAAAATTATATAAAAAAAAATTATAAGCTGTTTTGATCTCAATGGTTTTATATAATAATATAAGAATCGTACCTACACATAAATATTAAAGCAAAGTAATATTATATTTCATAAGAAGCCTAATATGAATAAATTTAAATCATGCGTGAGCACTGAAAGGCTCTGATCTGATAGACAATGTTATTACGTTACGTGTTCATACATATTAATGAGATACGAGTAGGTATTAAAATGTGCTTTCATGTGATACTAAATAACATTCTATTTAATATAATTATTTAAACATATACATTTATTCGTATTATTCCATCTTGCAAGAAGAGATTGTATAAGTAGTTAAACTATTTCAACAATAACGAAAGTACACAGAAAAGTTGATTCTGGAATTACGATTTGGTGATTGATAAGTTCCAAACTGTAAATAAATACATGTAACACTTATTTTCAGCTATATTGTAAGAATTTACTCAAATTTCGCTGTTTTATTGAGAACTCACGCTTAGCCCAGCATTTCTAATTACGATTATACGATAGGTTCTAGGCAGATATATTTATACTAACAAGTAAAGTTAACTAATGATGCGACTACAAGAAAAACAGATTTCACTTGATTAAAATTTTTGAATTCAAAGTATATTTGAAGATTGTAAATAGAAACACCTTTTTGTACAGTGTCAATAAAATCTGTTATTTACTCAACAGGTTATCGAGTCCTCCATCGTTGTCTTTGGGAGGATCTCTTTCCCTTCAACCAGTGCTGTATGGTCCATCTGGTGGACCTGTCCACGCACCACTGCCTCCAGCACGTCGAGCTTCTAGACCTTCAGCGTCTATACAACCCATGCATGTTATAAGCGCGTAAGTACCATTATCGATATCAAATACTTATTTATTTAGAAAACATTTATGTGATTGATCGTATTTGTTGGAAGTTACATAATAGGTACGTATTTAACTGACCGGTGCAACTGTGTCTACGTTAGATTTACTTAATTTTTGTACCATTTTTCGTAATCTGATATTATATAGCCTTCCTCAATAAATGGACTATCCAACACTAAAATAATTTTAAAACCGGATCTCTGTATCGGAGAATACCCCGAACAATATAAACTCACAAATTTTACCTCTTTATAAAATTAGTGTAGGCATAGATTTTCTTTATTTTCACTCATATTTTTCATTTGGAAGGTGTGTCGAACTTTCACAATACTTAAGTACTTATTAATATATACTTTATTGCACTTATTACATTAATAAACAAAGACAGTTATACAAAAATGTGAGCAAGGGCGGGCGGCGAGCAAGTTATATGATCTTGTTATTGAACTTTCTATTTATTTATGTTACAAAATACTTAAATATGTATATTTTATTGTATTTTCATCTAACTGCAAAATGTAATGGCTGTATATTGTGTTTTTATAATATTACGTGAAATTGTCTAATCTAATCGAATTTCGATAATTTTTTATGAAGGTAAGTTTTATTTCATAATATGATTTCTTCGATATGCGTTTTTTTTAATAATATGATTTACCAATATGTACTAAATATTTTATGAGACATAAAATATGTCAGATAATCCTGCAATAAAACAGTGTTCGATTATTTAACACCGGTCGTATCGTAAAGTTACGGTTTTTCTCTGTCATCCGGTCCGTTGCAGTTATAAATGGCCAATGAAACGGGAAAGCGAATAAAAAATACACTCGAGCCAATCATTGGTCGGATGGTAAAATTGCCAGTGTGAAAAATGTAGCTGCTCTGAGCACGACTGTGTAATAAATTACAGGAGTACGTAAAAGCTTCGCACAGCTCAGTATTCTGCAGTCTCCCCTCTTTGAAAGATAAGTGCAGAGAAAATTCTGGTAATGAGATCATCGAGATGGCAATCTTTTGCTATTACATGTATAAAGATATATAGACATTAAGTATGTTCACGTACCTATATAGATTTCCAGGAAAATTGGTTATACGATAAACCGTTTTATGAGTATATTACTGGTATTTTATTATTTTGTGGTCACAGTAACAATCTAATTAATGTAATGTGATATGAATAATCTTAGCAGTAATAGGTGCAAGTTTAATAACAAATATTATGCAGTGCTTGTTAACGTGTTAATTTGCATAAATTGTCTATAATGTATTAATTCTAAAGCATAAACATAGAAAATGGGAAATATAAAACAGGAATTGTATTACTTGTTAATTCTAATTACTATATCCAGTTAGTATTTAAGGATCACGAATCTGCTGGAGAATTGTACATTCTCTACGCAACAAACTACGAGTATGCACTCTAAATGAAAACCTCTCTACAGAAACTCTAGTGCTTGCAAATTAACAGTGCTATGATTAATAACACATGAATATGGTTCCAACTTCCTAAGAGCTTATTCCTACTTGTGGACGCGTTCCTGTATGCAGTTCTTTGAAATAATAGTCAACTGAAGTTTGTACCTATACTGTAAGCTACGTTGATCGAGATAAATAGAAGAACTTTTTTATTACTTACGGTTACCGTTGCTTAAACCTTATAATAATAGTGTTTATCTGATTGTAATTAGGTACTTAGTTTGTATTGTAATAATTACTTTGTATTTTCTATTAAGAATTTTATTATATATTTACGTATACCTACCGAACGATTTAGTGTCTAATAAATAATGTGACAGACAAATCGAGCAATATTTATATGACGATATGTTAAATTGTGTTGTAAAATACAAAAGAAGATGACATACATATAATATCTACCTATACATGTATACGTATGACATATACATAAAAAAATCGACTCCTTCCAAATATATCTTAACTTTATAACTTTATTGGTTGCAAATAAATAAAAAACCTCCTTATTGCAGTCGGTAGAAAAGGTTACAAAAAAGTAACTAACAATAATCGAGTATCGCAAATGTTGACGTAGACATAAATAAAATCAGTCGATGAGAAAATAGAATCTCTCCATTTGTTGCGAACCTTCCGAGAGGACTTGATTTTATTGCGATAATTACATTTGTCCCTCAATAACTCATTGTTAGTAGAAATGTTACGTGTAATAGCCATCGTAAAGATATGGGACGATCAATATTGTCGAGTTTCATTGTACATTCTATCGATGTAGGAACTATTAAAATATTTAATATTGCATACTGTATTCTTAGTATCAGAAAATATACAGTGTTTGTATGTATATTAAGGGTTAGTTGGTCAGATGAGGGCCAGTGTATATTTTATAGCATATTTCGGATTACATAACAGGACAAGTAATGTTTAATCTTAGGTAAATTAGGTACAATAATTTACCTAATATTAATCTAATATAAATGTTATGGTCGTTTTTTTCATTCGTTTCAGAATCACCTTTTCGTCGTCCATTGTTTCATTTCAGTGGAATACAGAATTTCAAAATAGTATGTACCTACGTTAGTTCCATATATGCTTTTCAAATTGAACAAAACAAAGTCTATAAAATATACCCATAATTATGTAGTTATAAGTAACATATTAGCTTGGGGCTACTATAGTACAGAATTTCAAATATTATAAGCGTTTGAAATATCAATTGTTGTAGAGGTTTGTAGCGCAATAAATTTGGGTGCACGCCCCGAAGCCCGGCCATTTATTAACTGGTCCTAATTTCAGCAGCAACATGTTTAAACATTACAAACAATATTATATGTTTCGCGTATAATACAATACACACACTATTTTAGAAATATTGGAATCTAATCTGGCACTGCAATTACAGGATAAGAGGAACGACATCTTAGTGACTTCTCTTAAAATGCGTGAGTGGTATTGTAAGTGTCACACGATAACGTAATGACACAGTGTTGTTCAAGCATATCGGTGATAGTTACCGCTTACCATCAGTTGAGCTGTCAGCAAGTTTGCCATTACAAAAAAACACCATTAAAAAAAATTACGTATATTTGGGCGTGATTTTGCAAACAATTTTCCAAATCACAGCAGCTTTCAAAGACAATGAATGCCGTGACATCTCATATTCCTAAGTTCCGACCGCAAGCCAGCAGAGGGCGTGGTTGGGAAACTTCGATAATTATGGTCCCCGTTTTGACTTCCAGCAAGTTAGCCGAAATCACTGAACTTATCCTTGGTTGTGGTTAGACTTAATGTGTTATTTATATATTAAAGTACTGTACATAACAAGTTTTAATTAAACGACCTGAATATTTTAAACCTAAATAACCACCAATGTTTTTTTTTAAGTTTTTGGCTATATATCATGATATAGTTTACTTATTATTTAGGCAAAGGATTACCCGTGATCATGGATAGTCTAATTATAATCACATAGGATAAAAACTAAACATAGGATTATAATATAAGATCTAATTATAATCCTATGTTTTCTATTTACATTAATATGTTACTATAAATTCACGAATTTTTAACTACATCTTTAATGAATCAACTACATGCCAAGTACGACTAAATTAATCTTACCATATTTATAACTATATCCAGCCTTAATTACTAAAATGCATGGGTTGTGTACTAGTTTACTTTTTGCACATATTGAATCTATTTACATATATAGCACATATAGATATTGATGAAAATATGTTCTGTGCTTACTCTGTTATCAGTGTTTTGTTGTTGTATGTATCGATATATTGTCACAATTGTATAATACATGTAGGTATATGTATTAAAATGTCTTTGGAAAGTAGTGTTTACCAGTCTAGATTGATTGTATCTTTTTTATAACTGAAGTTTATTCTTTGCTTACCCCTTCGTATCATAAATGATGGTTCAACCATGAAAATTGACATAAAGGTAATATTTGTTTGGGATAGTAAAGAATATCGCTTACTTGTTACTCAGGTCATACACAGAGAAAATTGTGTTTCAAAAACATTGTTGTATCACTGCGTTTAACCTTTCATTTTAATATCAGTTCCTGGAAATTAAAAACAAAAGATCTTTGTTTAATAAGTAATCAACATAATGGTGGTTGTCCGTCCCCATTCAATATTTTCACCAAGATCTGAACACTGAATTGCGGATCATATATTATGAACGCAATTCTAGTTTATTGTGCTGAATTATTCATACTGAGGGAAAGTTAGCTAAAAAGCTCATTTTATATGAGGGTGGTAAGTTCAAGTATCCACATACTCATCTAATAAGTTTTGTTTAATAAAAGTAAAGTGTGAAATCAGTATATTGGAACTCAGTAGTAATAAAGACGACAGCATATTTTGAATAGACTTCAAAATTTTGTTTTCCGATCTATATTGAATTATTATTGACAATGCCGTATATCGCCTTCCTTTTTAATATTTTCACCAGGAGCTTTTGTGAATCTAAATGGAAATAATATTCCATAACCATTATATGTAATATTATGTGAACTATTGTATTTATATATTTAAGTTATCTTTGAAGTTACTAGTTACTTTTTCAATTTTAATTGATCACAATTACTATACTCATTAGATATAAAATACAATGGCATAGTGCAGTATAAAAAGTTAGTTTATGTCATTAATTTATGAAATATAAATTAATTTATACCTATATATCATTTTAAATTAAGATGCACGTGTAACTCTTTGTAGATGCAAATGAAGTGTAAAAGAAATCTTACAACAATGGCAACATCCTTTCAAAGTTCAAGGATCTCCATTCATTCGGTGACGTCATAATTTAAAGCCGCCATACAACAGGACGGAGGCATATCATTGCCGGGAACCAGTTCCTGTGTAACAGTAAGTAGGTACCGTTACGATCGCTGTGGGGAGCCAATAACATGAGGTTGTCATGGCAACGGTGCGTGCGCCGAGGGTAACTTCCCCCAGAGGCAACACTGAGGGCTTGCAGGAACCAAACAGTAAGACACTTTTGGTCTTATGACCGCTCTTATTATCCTGACCCGCTTGGCTTACTCTTAGGGATCTTTCAAAGGTAGCCGTGTATTATTTAGTGCTTTTTCGTACATATTCTTGTTAACATCCGATATTCGCTACTACAATATGTCACCAGTGGATTACGTTCCAGGCAAATTAAACCTAACACTAACCCTAATTGTCGGGTATCTCAGGGATCAATTAAATGTTCTCATATGTGAAAAATGAGTGTTCTGTTACATTTTCCTTTGTGTTTATTATAGTATTAGAAACATGTTGTTGGAATGTTATTATTATATTGAGTTTTGTGGATTTATTATAGTTAACTTTAATTTTAATTGCATTATTTCTTTAAAACTAAAACATGAATATAATGACAACTTTTGTAGGTATAATTTAGCAGTGCACCGGAATGGTATACGCATGAGGGATACTACGGGCATCACATGATGACGTGATGCATGTGACTTTCTTCAGACCGTCAAGTTGTTGCTATCCAGTTACGTAGAAAATTAATTTCACCACAAATGTGCTTCTCATCTGAATTGTTCTTATAATAAGATAAGAGCGTATATCATTATGTGGGGCCGTCCTAATTTTGTTTATTGATAACATAAAATAGCTAATATCTTGGGTCAATGTTTAGAATATGTTTTATATCGCTGTGAATGAATGATGATGATTACAGTTGTAATAAATAAGGAAATCTGTTTAGTACTTTTATTGGACAGTGAATTTTAAATAAACGCAATACACACAGTTCATTTTTATTTGTTTTAATACAAATATTGAATATTACCAAAATTATGTCAAAAATATACAAGAAAAAAGTATAATATATCTATATTATACTTTTTTCTTGTATATTTTTGATATATCTAGACAAATATATCAATTAATTAAGAGTTCATAATATCTCTAGAAATAGATTTATTATCTAAACATTTACAATATTTTTTATAATTATAATTTCTTTAAGGATTCTTAATAGGAAAAATAACGTGTTCGATAAAATAAATACTAATATTGTTTTATAGACAGGAAGTTAATTAAACAATTATTAAACTAGTTTACTCCCTATTACTTTTATAAAATTTTATATTTATAAAATCCTATTACACTACGACATAAGACACCCTAAAAATTAACAATGATTGATCAATTCTATTGTAGCCCTTTGACAGACCTTACCTTAGAGGGAAAGTCTAATGAAACTTGTTTCCGTGTTGATGGCTATACATAAGGAATGACTTATTGATCAGCATCAATAGACATTGTGTTTATACAATAAGCGCATTCATCCGTGAATAAGGGAGGAATATTTACCCATTGATTGGTAAAAGGTTATCTAAATTCATCGCTATTATGTGACGTATCTCTAATGTTAGTGTAAAATTGCGCAAGTAATTTTCATCTATTATTTTGATTGACACTTTTGTTATACTATCCTTTAAATACTTATATGTAAGAAGGTATTAGTTGCCCATTTGCTTAAAAAAATCTAAGTCTTTACAACATGGTAAGTATTAATAGATTAAAAGTATTATACAGATAAATTAAATAACATACTGTGTAAGTAATAATTTAAAATAAATATTATATGATAATACATTTACCACATTTTAATGTCTATAATAAAATAGTTCAGAGTATTAAGAAGAATTTTCGATGTATTCTTTTTAATATTTGATTAAAGAAACTTAATTTTAGAAGCATGCAGATATGTATATTATTATATACTTATAGCATATTGTGTTGTTGTATAAAATATGAGAGCGCCATCCGACACCAAAAAAAACTTTTTGTGTTAATTTATATATCTGATTGAAGGAATTACCGACATCAAAACAATAATTAATACGAGAGACGGTGTTAGGCTCGTCCTACTAAACATAGTTTAACCCACAATTCGCTGGGTATATTTTAATCTAAGCAACGGCTTAGATTGAAATATACCCAGCGAATTGTGGGCATGTCATGTGTTGCGTTCACCACAACTTCGACTGTTGACAGTGCCTACTCCATGTGGGATAACAGTGTTATATGTATATATTGTTGTGTTCTACATATGTATACAATGTTAATTGACAGTGCGAGACTACTCATGAGAATTTAGCATTATAAATTAAAAGTAACCCTGCTTAAATAAACAGTTAATATAAATGTAAGCGTTTATAAAAATACCAGTTACAAGTTTAATAACTATCACCCGTTATTAAACTTTTCAAGGCAGTACTCTTAAAAAATACAGCAAATTCCAGCTTAAGGATAAAGTTTTGGTTTGTAATAGAACAGGTGTTATATTACAGGTTTTTATTTATATCGAGGTATTTGTAGACTACAATGTGTAACTATAGATAGGTTTATCCATAATTCGTACAGAAAAAGATCCAGCTTGTAATTAATACAATGAGATTATTAAAATATTACTCCACAAAATGGGCAAGAAAGCTCCTCGGATAATAATTTAATTGCGATGTAATGACCGTAAGTCGTGCTTTTGTCAGTTTCGAGGAGTTTAGCTAATTAGGCGATAGGTTGCGATGAATAATATTTACTTACTGCGATGTTAGGCATAGTACATAATTATGTATTATATTATATAGTACATAATTTATATAGTTTGGTATCGTACGTACGTTTATGTAATTCTTTTTTTTGTAGTTTTTTGCAAGATCCTTAGATGTCAATCTCGATCTATACCTACCTATGTTCTTGGATTACATCGAATACATCCATATCATGAATCGAATAGTTCAATAACTCTCTTTGTTACATAACTCCTCCTAAACAACAGATTTGGATGAAATGTTTTCTGTAGGTATATGCCAATAATTTCCCTGGATAATTTGAAAACACAAATACACTCGGCAGGTGGCACTGCTGTTCCGGTGATTATTATCCGCTAGTACCTATATAAATGTAACAATAAAAGTAGGCGAAAGGTAGCCTAATACGGCAGACCTTGCACCCTTACTTCAACTTTTGAAGAACTTATTGTTTGTTTTTGTTGACAGGAGTGATGCATTGGCGACTACATTATCAGCTTTATATGGAAAACTGTTGGTTGTGATGGGTGTCGCTTTTCCCATGGCGGAAGTCATATCTACCTATATCCCGCCCTCGTTTTATGAGGTATTGTCGAGTTTCCATCATTACATGTAATGTGATTACTAAGATTAAATTATTTTGAATAGCGTTAATTGTTGTATCAAATATTCCTATTTTTATTTTGTTGTTTTGTAATAACTGAAATATATAATATTTTTTTTAGTTTTGACGATAGATACAGAGATATTCGGTTGATTACCTAATCTAACCTTTAATTTTAATGACAAACAGGCACATGGCGCTGATGGTAAATGGCTACGGTCGTCTATATACATGAACAACACCACATATAATACGTCGTCATATGATGCCCATGATATCGAATTCGCGATACCATGGGCATCATATGACGACGCATACGCGTTTCCATTGTCATTTTAACATTCTGATCATCTGCATGAACTGATACTATATTGAAACCTTAAAGAAAAGACCTTATTACTTCTTAAAAGGCAGGTAATACACTTGCAATTCCCCTGGTGTTGCGAGTGGTATATATGGCGATAATCACTTATCGTCAGGTGAGCCGTAAGCTCGTTTGTTCCCCATTCAATAAAAAAAGACTAAGATGACATGCCCCCGTACCTAGTAATTTCACTGCTTTTATATTTTGCAGGGTTTCTACCTATATTTATACATCGGCAGCATGGTGTTCTTACTATACATGTACGCAGCGTTAGTGAAGGACAGATCGCGGTCAGCAGCTGATACTACTGTTGTGGCCAGTTAGTATTTTTTTTAATCAAACCAAATCAAATCAAAATATCTTTATTCATATAGGTTTATTACATACTCTTATATATCTAAAATCTATCGTCAGTTCGTAGTGCTTTTGAGCTAAGAAGAATTGACAAGAAATTCAGCTCTTATTTTTTTCAAATGAGCTTATACATTTTTACAAAAATCAAATTCATTTTTAAATTCAATTAGGAATAAAAGAGTGATCCCTGGCATATTTATGTAAAAATATGGAATAGTGCACTGACCTGCGCTAACGGTAATATGCTGGCAGGATACCAGTGGAAGAAGGTAAGATAAAGAAGAAGTCAGGTCGTAGCATATTGTGACGAATTTACCAATAATTAAACACAATGCTAAATCTTTTATAAATTTTTCTAATGTAGACACATTTAGAAAAATTTATAAAAGTCAGTTAATGATTAACTTGTAAAATCTTTTATAAATTTTTCTAAATGTGCTCTTTTAAGAAGTTTCGTCTAGACTAGTCACCCTTAGTTTTCGTCTAGACTAAAGCTTTGCTCAGCTCTATTTTTGATAGCGTTAACCACCTTTCATTTTATTGAAAATAAAAATATCAATATCTTTTTATGAAATTATACCATTCTCCTCCATCAAAACACATATTAATTGTTTTTGAAGAAGGCGGTAAAACTCAAATATCATTCTTATAAAATTTCTTGAAAAAAAAACTGGTTTTAAATTGCATCATTATGCTTAGACAGGGATCCAAAAGCTTTTGTAAGAACAAGTTTCAAACGCCTTGCGTAATTTGTTCAAAGCATCCTTTTAAGTTTTCTTCATTTTTACTTTGAAAGGAACTAAATTAATGTAACTAAAGTTTCCGATATATGATACTATCTATAAAATATATTTAGTTTTTAAGTTGCTAGAATGAAATGCAAATATTTTGTTCTTTTCTCTGTTTGCCATATACACACAGTATATAAAAATGGCTTACATATATTAATACATAAATGATAAAACAGTAATACATACTCTAGTTTAGAAATTAACTAATAGTTTTTAAATAATAGACCTTAGAAAATAGTGTTAAACACATAACGGGTTCTAGGATGTAACAAAAATCAAATAATTGTAACTAGAATTTCATGGCATACACTCAGTGTATCATTTAAACCTTTTACGTCATATATTTATATCCTTACAGAAACAGATTCGAGTTCATCACCCTCGGAGTCCGATTCATGTTCATCCCGGACAGAGAGGAGCACGGCCACTCCGCACGTACCACCGCAGCTTGCAGCCAAGCGGCTGTCACTTGGCTTTGCACTTGCTACACGCACGCATCACTATGGAAGCTTCTATCTCAGGATGGGTGCAGTGGGTAAGTTCCAGAAACGATTTTCTTTTCGTCCCGTTCAATTATCGAATCTGAAATAGAAAATTATAGATTTTTTAAATTTCCAATCATGGTTGTGTCGCATATGTAAATTGACAGTGCTATAGTGGGTAAACCTTAGTTTACCCACTTTACTACTATTAATTTTAAACTTGAACTTTAACTTGGAGTGATGCTAAACTTTGACTGTTGAGGATCATTCCGTTTTTTAGTTTCATTATCAGTGTCTCTGATCATTGATATTATAGCCATGACATATATTTTACACACACTATATTTCGTGACAAATTTTTCCAATACACTGAAGCTAAGAGAATTCATATTAAATTCATGTATTAGTGGCCCGTAATAAGGTAATCTAATTCTCATTTATCATATTTATTTGACGATGCTTCGGTACTTAATGACATATTTCCTAATAAAAAATAGGCACAATGTAAAAACCCCAAATTGTCTGACAACTATTATCTGTGAAACGCGTTTGATAAAGAACACCGCTATGATTTACTTTATACTCTTCTCCTTGTACGTTTCAAGTACACATTCCAGCTCCGCAATTTACTTTCAAGAAAATACTAATGAAGAATTGAAAATGTGTACGGTTAAAATTATTGTAACGCAACTAAGAAAAGGCGCTGAATTAACTGTGATAAGTAACGCTGAAGATTTATTGTCCGATATCCATAATTCCACTCATGTTCAATTAATATTTCGCGACGCGGATATGCATCCTGAAAATTATACTTATATAGAAGCATATTTAATTTCAATTACTGATGCCAACGATTTAGATAATATACTAAGTATTTTAAAACAGGAGTGGAGTTGGAACCCTAATGCCAAGTTCGTAATAACATTAAGATGTCAAGCACATATTGAAGAATTACGGGCTGTTTTTAATTTGTTTCTCGTTTCTCACATATTAAATATTTTGCTTATCGCTAAATTTGACAGCAAAAATTTCGTCTATACATATTTCCCTTATGAGGAAGGCAATTGCGGACGCTATCACGAAAACATAATAAAAAATCTTTCTTGCGATGAACTTACAAGTGATTTTAATATTTTTCCCGACGATAGTTCCAGAACGTTGAAAAATTGTACAGTGCGTGTTCTTACTCACCACAATCCTCCATTTACATTTCTTCCAAATACGAGGGATAGTAAAATTGGTCTTGAAGAGCGAGTTTTGGATTTGTTAGCTGAGAGTGAGAGATTCCATGTATCCTATACTTATGATCTCGTGTCTGTCTCATTTGGGCACGTCAATCCTCCTAATTTTACAGTAACCGAACTTTTAGAAGGAATACAAAATAACGAAGCGGATGTAATTATGGGTGGTTTTTTTTTACTTACAAATACTTTGTATCTTTGTGATTGTATTTGGACATATTTTGGATCGACTGAAAATTATTTAAAATTGTTTTCATCACAGAGAGAATACCTTGGAAGATGGAGGATAATTTACAATAGCTTTGATGAAAATACCTGGATTTCATTACTAGTATCTTTAATTCTATTTCTTTTTTTGTCTTTAGTCATAATCACATTAGTAGAAGGTGAGCAAAACTATCGTGGTAAAGTTATTTTATATGTTTGGGGTTCATCATTTGGAAATATATCACCATATTTTATGAAACTTATTCGAACGAAGCGATATTTATTATTTTGGATTGGGTTTGCTTTTTTAATGAGTAATTTCTATCAAACATCATTAATTAGTTTGGCAACAAAACCAAGGCAACGTCCTGGAATTGAAAATAGGGCAGCGTTGTTGAAGTTAGGATATCGACCTTGTTTTCCCAATAATTCAGAATGGTTATTTAGACATTTTGAACTGTCTATTTTAAATGATGTTCATCCACCACTACGAGAATGTACAGATTTAGAGAATAGTTTGTTATCATTAGCAAAAATTCCAAATTTATATACATTTAGTCAGTATTACAAATACTTGTATTTGGTTCAAAATAAATATCGTTACCTTATTTATGAATCAAAGTTTAATTTTCAACGTATCGGCCATGCTATATTTTTTGCTCGTGGCTTTCCTTGTATGGATACAATGAATTACAAAGTTTTGAGAATGACTGAAAATGGGTTATTTGTTGCAGCATTTCGTGAATTAGGTCTAGAACCAGTAAAGTCCTTTTTTATGAAACAAAAAGTTAATGCTCGCCAATTTTCCAGTCTAAAAATGGAAGATTTTCTTATTCCTTATGTTGTAATAATGTTGGGTACGATTTTGGCTTTAATTATGTTTGTTGTAGAAAAATGTTATTAGTTTATCAATAGTATTTATAGTTGTTATATTTTGAGTATTGTGCAACGATAAATGATTTCATTATCGTCAATAAGAAATATGACAACCGCCTGCGCTTAATATGGTATTTACAGTCAATATGAAAATAATATGTAGCTTGAAACTAGAGCAAATGATCAAAGTAAGTTCATTGATTGACTGTAGAGTTAACTAATAGGTAGTTAATACAAAATCATAAAATTGCTCTAGTTTTTTGCCTATTGTTCCCGTTTTCAGTTCACCTGAAACTGCTTTTTAATATTATTTAATAAATATTTCTACTTTAAAATGAACAAACTAATTTTAGAGTTTATAATAATTTTGTTACATGTTCGATTGTTATAATAAAATCTTTAAAAACTCGTGTCACTGTTATTTTTCTTATAAAGCACCTTTAACATTATCTTTAAATCATATATAAGTTGAAAAAAATATTAAACATTAAAAAAAATATTTAAGATTCTTGCCAGTTCTTCTCAATTGAATCTGTGAATTGGTGGTGTGGTTTTAGTTTGTTTTTTGTGGTTTTATTTATTACCTACCGGCAGCATATGTGGTATAATTTATGAAATATCAGCTTTATACATTTAGATCGATTGTTATTTATTTATAAACTCTTTATTGCACCAATAGAATTAATACATAAGATAATTATACAAAATTGGATGTACAAAAGGCTTATATTTATCGCAAGAAGTCGCAAGAAGCATCTCTTCCAGACAACCTTTAGATTGTAAATAAAATACAACATATATATATATATATATATATATATATATATATATATATATATAAAGGTCTTTAATATTAAAGAATTTAGACATTTTAACTTAGAATTTTTTTATAATAATCTATTAACGGCCTCTGTGGTCGATTCCTCGTACAGTACATATATTTATATTCATGAATGTAATTGTTGATCTGGGTGTCTCCTGTATATGTTATTATTCTATAATAAAAAAAAAATGTATTAATATAGTAGTAGCAGTTGCCTGGTAACAAGTAAATACCTGTATTGAAAATACTCAGACCTATACATACGATCATACGAATACAAATGTTTTTACACGAGGAATCGAACCCGCGACATTGGAAGCAAAACGATGTGTCAGACCCGCGAAATCGTCTGCGTGGATTTTTTAAAATAAATGCATTTTCTTAAATAAAAGTAGCAAAATACGTATAACACTTTTTATTTTGAAATATTATCTTTTATAAGTACATTAAGTACGTACCATGTACACTTTCAATCGCATTTAATCAATAACTATTAATTTGAAATTACATACAAACCATTGAATTATATTTATTTGTGTAGATAAAGTGTTCTATCAAGTCTAGTCTTATAAATTAACTATATTTTGATGTTGTAGCAATTTTACTGGAGGGTAGATACCGATCTACATATAAAAAATATAAGAAAAATTTATAATATGTGAATATTTACTCTTTTGTGGTATCTTTTGTAAGAAATTATTACTTACAAGTGTGTTTATAAGTGATGTTTATAAAATGAAAATTAAAACTCACTTAACTTGTAAGAAAATAAACGTTTGATGTAATAACAGCATAGTTTAATTTTCTCTGTTTATACGGAAGGATAAACAAACAATAAACAATACAAGTACAACCTTTTAATGAGGTAATCTATTTCTCATTTGTCCCAATATGTTGTTTTGTAATGATATTTACTCAGTGATACCATCAACATTGTTTCAGCATAAACTACATGTTTACTAATAATTATCTACATATTTTTACTTCCTTACTAATATTATAAATGCGAAAGTAACTCTGTTTGTCTGTCGCGCTATTATGCCATATTTACTGAACCGATTTTTATTGAATTTGGTACACAGATAGTTTAGACTCTATAGGAAAAGAACATGCAAAGAAAGGGTTGTAAGGGGAGATGAAAGGTTGTAATTATCATAGTTATCATATTGTAGGTATATAGTATTATCATATTTATACCTAGAAGCTTGATAAAAATAAAATAGGGGATGTAAGTTTGTCTGGAAGTTCGTTATTTTAGAAGCTATAAAGTTAACCTTTATTTAGGTTTTTTGTTAGATTACTTTAGTAGTAGATTACTTTCGAATTTAGTTGGATGTTATTACGTCATTATAATTTGTTGTACATTTAGATATTAGGTACCTAAGGATGTATTATTAAGTACCTAAACCTGTAATATGTAATTAAAATTGCTATCCAAGGTCACTATTTCAAATAATGTAGGATGATTGGATGAGGATGAAGACAGTTTAGCCTATCGTGATCAATTTACCAAGAATTAATCAGAATGGGCACCAGGGGGTACCGCGTGAAGGTCAACCTGACATTGCTAGGAATGGGGTCTTTAATTCCCATTACTAACCAATTCCTGTCTCTCCTTTTAATAAATGTATATTAACGTGCTTTTATGTAGGTATTTGTAGTAGTTTTTCATAATTACCTATTTCTGTAATAATTCTTAATATTAAGTATAACTTTAGCAAGGTAATTTAATTCTCATTTGTCATATCTTAGTTTATTTAAGGGTATTGACTTACTCGTATATACTAATAATTCTGTACTATAAAAACATTAAGTTATTGTCATCAAGTCTTATATTGAGATTATTTGATACAAAACAGCGCCATGATCTGTCATGTAATAATTTTAATTGTAATGTACTTCGTAAATATACATGTACATTCTACATCATTAATGTTCTTTGAACAAATTACCGATGATAAAGAATTAAAAACGTGTATTGATAAAATGATTATAACACAACTAAGAAAAGGCACTGAATTAACTGTGATAAGTAACGGTGATGATTTGTTAAATGATATTCACGGCACCACACATGTTCTACTAAAGTATCGCGACTCGTATATACATGGACAAAATTATTCGTATATAGAAGCATATTTAATAACAGCAAATGATGCCAATGATTTGAATACCACAATAAATACACTAAAGCAAGAGTGGAGTTGGAACCCTAAAGCTAAGTTCATAATAGCAATGAGGCACCAATCTAACATTGAACAATTGAGGGCTGTTTTTAAACTGCTGCTTATTTCTTACATACTGAACATATTACTTGTCGCTAGAGTTGAAAGAAAATATATAGTTTACACATATTTTCCATACGGAGAAGGCAATTGTGGACGTAATCACGAAAATATAACAAAATGTTGTGAATGCAATGAACTCAAGCATGATATGAATATTTTTCCTGACGATAGTTCCAGAACCTTTAAAAACTGTACGCTACGTGTTCTTACTCATGCCAATCCACCATTCTCAATTATTCCACACATTAAAGATGGAAGAATGATTATTGGCTATGAGCAGCGAGTATTGGACTTATTAGCAGAGAGTGAAAACTTCCATGTATCATATATTTTCGATACTACACCAGATAGATTTGGATTCATACAATTACCTAATTTTACAGCAACAGAACTATTAGAATCAATACAGATGAGAGAAACAGATGTAGTTATGGGTGGTTTTATTTTATTAAGAAATCCAATGTATTTATGTGATTACATTTGGACGTATTTTGGATCCAGTGATAATTATTTCAAGGTTTTCACTTCTCAAAGAGAGTACATTGGTAGATGGAGAATAATTTATGACAGCTTTGATCAAAATACCTTTATATTGTTACTATTTGCGCTATTTCTATTCGTTCTTTTGTCTTTAGTCATAATCTTATTAACAGGAGATGAAATAAATTATGGTGGCAAAGTTATTTTATATACATGGAGCTCATTATTTGGAAATATATCACCGTTTTTAAAAAAGCTTATTTTAAAGAAACAATATTTATTACTATGGATTGGTTTTGTATTTTTAATAAATAATTTCTATCAAACATCTTTAATAAGCTTGGCAACAAAGCCCAGCATTCGTCCTGGAATCAGGATTGGTGACGAATTTTTAAAGTTAGGGTACCGTCCTTGTTTGTCCAACTCATCAAGGTGGTTGTTTCAGCAATTTGAATTACCTATTGTTAATGATGTATCTCAACCAATACCAGAATGCATAGACTTAGAGAGCAGTTTGATGTCACTAGCCAAATTACCATATCTATATACCATTAGTCTTTACCTGAAATATATGTATCTGGTAAAAAGTAAATATCGCCATCTTATATATGAATCAGGCCATAACTTTCAACGAGCGACACATGTCATATATTTTTCTCGGGGGTTTCCTTGTATTGATACTATGAATTATAAAGTTATGAGAATGAGTGAGAATGGTTTTTTTGTGGCAGCTTTTCGTGAGTTAGGTCTTGAACCCGTGAAGTCCTTTTTCTTGACACAAAAAGCAAATGAACGTGTCTTCTCAAGTATGGAAATTAAAGATTTCTGGATTCCGCATATCATAATTGCGG